TCTTCCCCAAATACTTTTAAAAATACATTCCTCAAAATTTGCGTCAGCGACTTCAGGGCACCTGCAACGGGTTTCTGGGTATCTCATTTTAATTTTGCATCGCACACTAGGGAGCTAGTGTACGAGGCTCTAGTAACGTAATAAAAATATAATCACAAAAAATGTAATCAACTTGGACGTAAAAGGTGAAAAAAGTAAAGATCTTCACGCAGCTTTTTTTGTCGATTACATTTTGGTATAGACCAACAAAGAACCGAGACGACCAAGACGCGCATCACTAGCTAGAGAATTTTTTTATTGTTGCAACTCGCATCAGTTACGAAAATCTGGACGACCCGCGCATTTAGTATGTTCCAGTCAAAAATATCAGTGGAAATCAGGCTGGAAAGCATCACAAGTTGTCACAGGCACTTATTTAGCCAGTCTGCCTGTGAACATCGATTTCGTCACTATTCTTGCTCTGGACTAGCACCGCAATCACAAAGTCACTAAACGCTTGTGTTTGATTTAGAGCCACTGCATTCGGTGCAGAGTGTAGTTTTCTTACTGCTCAGGGCCGGTTTTCTCGAAGCGATGGTAAACCCATTTTGGTAAACCACGGTGCCTAGGAGGGAAAAAGTACCTAGGTACTGTAATAAAGGGCTGGATATAAAACAACAATATTTATTTTTGATTAGGCCGTAAGATACGCCATCTATCGGTGAAACAAGCCAGTCATTTTGTTTCTCCTCTTATTCCGCTGGTTGTCATCAATCTAGTATGGCATCTTAAGTCAAAATATAGTCATGTTGTACTTGAAGACCAATTTATTTGCTTCAGGTGGTACGAAGAAATTTTAGCTACTATGCTAGAGTTTGCCGACGAATATTCGAAAACGTAAGAACCATTTCCTTCAATATGTTTCGCCATAAACAACGCATAACTTTCCCGTGCGCCATCCAGTCTGGCAACGCCGGTGCTGTAGTCTCGTTTTTGTTCTTTGCGACTAGGGGTGTCGCGAACCGGCCGAGGTTCGAGTTCGACCAGGTTCTCCTTTTTCGAACCTTCAGTGGAAAATTCGACGAACCTTGTATTGAGGTTCGACTCGTGTGCGCATGCGCGACAGGCTGGCCAGTTGGCTTTGGATTGGAAGGTGATGGCTAAGGGGAGAATTAAGGGCAGCGCTGATTGGTTATTTCCGTTAATGCAGTACAAGAAGATTAACTTATTAACTTCATCAGTGATTAGAATTGGTTTCTTTTATTTTCCACTGTTCATCAAATAAAATAACCCTTTGCATAAAAAAAAAAATTCTCAAAACCTAGACATGCTTGTATCAAGGTCTGGCCACAGTGTCCACAAAGTCGAACCGGAAGAATCTGGGGAAAAGTTCGAAGGTCGAACCCCGAAAGTTCAACCTAAAAATCTGGTTCGACAAAAGTTCGCGGCACCCTAATTGCGATGCACGTTTCTGCGATTCCTGCTGATCTCAACTGTATGCCCCCTTTTCCTTTTGCCCAACCGATCCACCGGTGACGAGGAGCTTCTCGTCACCGTTGGATTGCTGGCCACAAGAAATTTGTAGAAACCTCAATGTTGTCGGCATACTGTCGGCGCACTCCGAACAAAAAAAAAAAAAACAGTACAATGTCCCAGCTGTTCACCCGGAACGAAGACTTTATCGAGGATAACCCCCTTTTCTTCGCAAAGTAATCGCTGCTCACGAGTTGGCGTGCATAGTGTAACAAATTAAACGTGTTAGTATAATAATAATAATAATAATGTATTTTATTTCCCATTCTGGTTGGTACAAAAAGGGAGGACGTCAGGACAAAAAGCTGCGGTTGCAGCTTGACGAGGTCCTGGCGCCCTAACACACTTTGGCGGGAAAGCAGCATTGGAAACACAACGAAAACACAAAAATGGACACTAAAACACAATAACGACTATTCACATTGTTGCACTCAGCTTGAATGCATCAAAACAAATATTTTTATATTTTATAAAGTAGAAAAAAGTTTCACCACAGATACAAAAACTCCAGGCACAAGAGGCAAAAATTATGCTGTCTGTATAAATATATACCAACACTCGTTCGCAAAACATTTTTTTACTCACCATAAAAACACTTGCAAGGCTGATGTTCCGTCATATGTTTTGCATCCCGGAATGCTGAAGAGTGATGCGTTCGCGGAATGCTGCCGTCGGTTAGTTTAGTAGTCCCTCGGAAGTACCGCTTTGCTTGACGTGCTAATAGGTTGATGATGCGTCATTAATATAACAGCCGGATCGAAATGAATGCTCAGAAGAACCAACAAGAACCATTAGCCCTTATTAAGCGACGTCGCGGCCATTTTGCTTGTAGGTACTGCTCCTCCCTCGGCGCCCCTGCTCTCTCAGTCACGTGACCTAGAATTCCCTCTTGTAGGGACAATAGTTAACTTTAACCCACGGTTTGCGTTCGAGAAAACGGGCCCTGGACAGTGACAATAAATTTGAGAAATGTATTTTCGCTCACAAAATTGTATTTAATTACAATTGTATTTGAAATACCCACGTTTTAGTATTTAAATACACACGTCAAATACATTACCCAATTTGTAATTAAATACAAATGCAAAATACACAAAGTATTTAAAATACGTATTTCAAATACTTGTATTTGAAATACTGCCCATCCCTGGTCTGGGCCTTGCATTCACGTGATCAAATTTAGTTTTACCCGGAAATCTCCATCGTTATTTAAAAATCGGCATACATGTAAGAGGTTAGTTGAGGGCGGATTCTTTGGCAAGTAGGAATTTTAAGGCCGGAGGTTGCTCATGACGACTGGGACAAGATTTGCCCGAATAAACACAGACGTCAGAGGCTACTGTTTTCGTTTTCCCACTGATGGGCTGCCGTGATCAATGTCCTCTATAAAAATTTAAAAAAAAAACGTTCCTAGTATTCTTTGTTACTTTCTTGACCCATATCGGCCAGCTATGACATAATAAAAGGGAGGATTAGGTGGCGACCTCTAGAGCACTATATAGCTCCTACGGAGCAGCGTAGCGCAATCCTTTGAACCCCGTGTTTTGCCGACAACATGGCCGACAGAGCGGCTCGGCGCGAGTCACGTGGTACTCAGGGTTCCAGGAGGCGGCCCGCCCTATGGGAGAATACATGGAGATGGACACAAGACTGCTGATTAAAAAATGAACGGCGAGTTCACACTTTTCAGAACTAGTCTGTCGTGAAGTTAGTAAAGCACTAAACACTTTATCAAAGTTTTAATAATATCGGATGCGTGTGCAAATTTTGAGAAGGCAATTTCCAAGGCAATGGCGTTTGAAGCAGACGATTTTTGCTCGCAGCGGAGATGGGCTTTTCGGGTTGGCCGGAGCGGGTCACGTGAATGGTGTGACGTCGCCGTGTCGTCTGCTGCATGATGCCGCACAGGCAATTTTTAAAAAAAAGTCGGGTCCTTGCGGGGCACAAAACTTAGCGCGAATTATTCTAAAGTGTTCCATTATTATGTCAAAAACGATTGCGATTCCGTATATTCCCACAACACTGAAGAGACAACGATTTTCTCACGTTCTCCATGCATTTCTGACAGCAGTTGGAACCTCCGGGCGTTCGCCGCTAGTCGCCGAGAGGCGGCGTTCTAGATTGCGCTACTCTGCTCCGAAGGAGCTATATCTCTGAGCTATATAGTGCTCTAGCGACCTCTATCATATGCGCGGGATGTCACACGCACAGGAAACGCCAAAGCTGGCAGTGACTGGGCGGTCTCTGACGTGTGTTGACGTTGTGTGGACGACTGGGTGTGAATTTGGTTTAGCGGAACTGCATGTCCAAAAGCGAGAGCCCGACTCTCGTCTCTCTCTCTCTCTCTCTCCCCCCCCCCCCCCCTCATAACCGTTTTTTCTTCTTGTGATTCGTTTGTACAAATGGTTAATCGAGTTATCGCAGATCATTTCGGCTCTCCCGCAACGTCCTCCGTAACTCGCTACGAGATCCGAGACTCTGCAGGCGAAGCTAGCGTCGCGCATGCGTAGTAGTGGCGTCTTCGTTCCGGAGAGTGTAGCGGAGGTGGGAGAAAAGTCTATGAAAACTCCATAATTACCGCAATACGGGAGCCCCGTTCCCAAGGTCGACTAGAGCCAGGCGCGCTCTTTTACGGCCCTCGAACGAGGGTTTGTTTCTCCCTTCCACCGCAGCTCGATGTGACGATTGAGGCCCTACCCTTCCTGCAGCGCCTTAACTCCTCCTGAGGAGGTATCCCCGCAGGATTCTCAATATTGGCCATTAGCTTCCTGCCTTTGATAACACTTCGGCGCACACGCAGCCAAAGCCCGGCGGCCTCAATGCTTGTATGTCTGTAGTGCGCTGGCTGAATTTCTTATCTGCCAAGGACACATCAGGCGCCCCGCTTTTCAAACACTACACTGTTCACATGCGAGAGCCGTATTTAGTCTACAGGTAAGTTACCATCAACGTGTGTTTTTAAATATGCTCACTGACGAACTAGCCTTCCCGTTTATTTAAACCCTTACTCGTATAAAAAACAAGACTCCTAAATCACCTTTTTATGGTAAGTACACCACCGAAACTCGAAACCATGAAGTTAAGTACTGCTATATAAAATTATGTTGTTGTTTTTTTTGTTACATTTTTTATAAGGAAAGCTTTTTCTTTTTTTAAGATGGCTGCCAATGCAAACAGAAATTACCATGAACCGTTTTGAACCAGTTACCGTTATATTTTTTCCGGTTCAGTTCCAAGATGGCAACAAAGATTGTGGTTCAGTTCCGGTTCAGCTAAAAATAACGGTCCCGTTCAACACCCCGGCTGAGGCCTTCCTAGGAGGTCATGACGTTCGGGCGCAACGTGTAGCACACTTTTATTCATAGTGCAATTTGGCACAAATAGCGCACCACTTCCATTACTGCACTGGTGTCTGAAATTCAGGAATCAGTTACAAGCTTTGTGAATCACTTTCGTTCAACCAATGGAAGAAAAAAAGCAGCATGTTATGCCATTATTTCAATAGCTTTATTTGAAATAATCAAAACATTTATAAACATCAGGTAACATGCAAACTTTGTACTTCTAGAACACATGGCACTTCAATATTTTGTTGCTTTTTCTTCAGATAATTAACTCGCTCCAAGATACGAGTGCTACCTAGCGGCTGTTACGGAGCCTCTAAAACTTCCACACAGACGGCAACCAAAGAAGTACAGTGCCTTTTGAATGAGGTAACAACTAACTTCCCATGTATGTGAATCATTCTGGAAATTCATTCAGCACTTGATGATCTAAGGTTTTTGCACAAACCAATATGCAATAGGCTCTTGGTGAAGTCGATGTGCAAGCTGCTTGGCCGCACCCATGTAACACCCTTGCCAGTGCAAACCAACAGTTCCTTGTGGCTACTGCTAGAAATTGGCTCTAGGACTAGGTCGAGTGGCTATGCCAACCTTCGAAGTGGGTCTGTTAAGCAACAAATAAAAAAGGTATGTAATCATAAAAGGACAACACTTGATTAAAATATGCATTTCACAATTTCTTCGTTAACTTTAGGAACCAAAGTGCAAGTTACTTTTGAACATCAAATTTTCTTTAAACACACACGTATACTAAAGCTTTTGTGTGCAGTTAAATTACAAAGCTGCACTCAGTAAACCCTTATGACCAGTTTCTGGGAAGCAAAGGAAAAGTCATAATGGCACTTCCTAAATTCACTCAATACTGAATGAGTATGACCGTGTCTCCCATTCGACTTTGGAGCCAATGTCAATGGGCTCTTTCATAGTCTTTTCTATAAACTCTGCTTTGCCTTGACCATTCACCAGCACAATTGTGTGTGTCCTGCAAAAAAGAAAACATACCCTAAGTTACCCCCAAAACATTAGTTTCACATTTTTGCAAAGCATTCTTCTTTCATTGGGAATTCTTAGAAGAACTCTGCACCATTCTTTACCCAAGAAAAAAGCTCCAGATACCTTTCCTTTTCATTAGTGGTGCAAGTGGAAGTAACTAGCAAAGAATCAAAACGAATGGTGTCTAGTCACCATCAGTGACATTTCTTACTGTTAAGGAAGTCTGGAAGCACAATTTAGTTTGGAGGCTGTACATTGAAGCAAGGACTGCACGCTCCAAATTATCAAAATGAACCACGGGCAAGGTTTCAGCAACTGCTTCTTCAGGAAGCAAATGTCATGTCGTCACAGTTGCAAGTCACTTGTCAATGCCATTATTAATCATTATTAAACGTCCATGTTTGCCACTAACTGATCCTTCATTTCAAATGGGCTAAAATTTTCTTAAAGAAATTGAGAGTGAGAGATAATAAATGTATATTAGGGAGGTTGTAAAGAAATTGATCATCAAGTAACAATTATGTAACATTGTTCTAGCATGTTTGATTATCAAGTAACAACTGAAAATGATTATCAAGTAACATGTCACGTTCTTTTAGCCTCTTTGTTAACTGATGGTGCTCTTTAAATTAATCTGTAAATTAGTCACTCACAAAAGATACTTTTTTTTTTTTCAAACCCTGTAATATGTACCAGGGCAATGTTGTCAGATATAGTAAACATTGCCTCTAACCTGCATAGAGCTAGCACTCAAAGGCAAAAACTGAACGAAGTGGAAGGTTAGAACGGCAAGCTGCCTTCACCACGTATATATTCCTAATGTGGTGAAGCACCCTCAGCCCAAAAAGGGTAAGTAGTAGCAGGAAGTTTTGTGCAGCATTATGGGAGGCACAAACTCAGGTGCTTCGGGTTAGGAAGTTCTTTCCTTGGAAGAATGCTCATGCCAGCAAACCATATCACGAGGATACACTGTCACGCCCGCACTGTAATAGTACTACCCACACAAGCTATGCAATGAAATATAGTCGAAGCTTGATGCCAGAAGGTTGTGGTGGAGAATCCTGCACTCGGAGTGTGCTCTAATATTTGAAACAAAACTGCCCCAGTTGTGAAGTAGAGCCAAATGTGATAAAATGAAAACTTTTTTAAACAAAATAATAATAAAAAAACGAGAAAAAAAAAACAACTGTAAGCTGCTTTTACTGCGGCATCAGAAATATTCTAGAAAATAACAGTATTAAAAGGAGCATAGCTTTTACCCATGGCACCTTTTTGCTAGAAGTGGGAAAATAATTAAGTAGGGGCAGCTCTTTTGCAAACTTAATTGTGGCAATTGCAGTGATGAAAGCAGTATTTGAAATTTTGTAACAGGTTCTGTAACAGGCAAAATACTGGTTTGGAACAGCCCCTGACACTTTTGGATCAGATGCCAACATCTGTTACCACATCACTCGAAAATGAAGAAGTGACTTCATTGCTAAATAAGTTCATCTATGATAATGACTGAAGGTTTCTCTTGGATACTGGACCATATTACTCAGTATTAAATTTTGTAATAAGAATAGGTAGGGCACAAAAGGAACACAGCACCTTAGTTTTAGAAATAAGGTTCTGGTCAGAGTAGGTTCCATTTATAACGGGCACTCAAACAATGGTTGAAAAATGAACCATAGCACACTTCAACTGGGATAAAGCCTCTCTCCCCTCACATTTTTACACCCGGTAGTATATTTAGCCTTTAAATGTAATTTTTGTAAAATTATTGCAAAAACCAGGATATCTGCTAAGTATGTCTGTCAATAAAAATGTGCCGTCCCTCCTCCTCCTCGCCCTTTTTTAGTTTTAGGAACCGTACCCCACTCAAGACTTCATCATTATAAACTGCAAAAGCAGCCACCCACAAATATGAAAACCTACGCTTGTGTTTTATAAGATACAGTGCTCTTTAGTGGCTTTGAAACCAGAGTACAATGAAAGTTAGCTGCTCTTTTGATCAACAGCAGTGCGGGAACTACCTTGGCTATCACATTTATTCAAATATAGTTGGTTTTTTTCTCTTGTAGCAGTTTTTAAAAATTAGAGATCAACCTAAAATCAGGACCAAAGAAAAAGAAGCTAGACCTGGAACAGTTCTGGGCATAATTACCGAACCTACTGCATTAACCCAGACGCTCACCGATGTCAGCCACTGCTCTTAGCACTCTGGTACAAAGCGGTAAAAACGGATGCGGGCACTGGTGAGAGGCAAGACAGCGGCATGCAGCAGACATGATCGTCAAGTGATCACATCAGAAGTACGAAACCCTGATTTCTATCTTATCAGAGTAGCTGCCATCCTACTATCGCCGACATCGTCTGAAAATTTAGACAATGTCGGCAATCAACCCGCCAGCGCATCAGCCGGCCAGCGCAATTGACAAGCAATTTCTAATCCTCATTTCACCTTAATTCAAAGTGCAGCCGACGCTACGAGCCAATAGGACCAACCAAACAGTGTTAAAGTGCGACGTCATGGCATTCGTCCATCTTCCTGTGCATGTTCTTTCGTTGACTAAATCAGTGAAGTACAGCAAATGCCCCATGACTCACACTTTTAGCATGTGTGTTCATGCTCTGACCTAAGATGAAACAAACTATACGGTGAGTAAGTGAGTAGAGACGCTGTGAAATAAATATTTGTACCATTTCCTTTCCTCCTACTTCTCTCTATATTAGAGTCGACCCATAATAGAATATTGAATAATATTTTATTATTCAAATAATATTCTATTCAGTAATAGAATATTTTAATATTTTGCTTTGCTCATCCTGGCGAAGGTTTGGCGCAATTCTTAGCAAACATGGCATTTTGGCGCAAGATGTAGAAGACTTTCGTTCATGGTGCAATTGGGCATAAATTGCACAGCGTTTCCATCACTGCAATTCGTTGCATCCCTTGCCCTCTTTTTGAACTAATGAGCAGTCCTGTGCTAAGCCACAGTACAGTCAGAGCGATAGCCGCAACACGTAACGGCGAAGTTGTTGGGCATCGGCGTCACGTTCACGTACCGTGAAGTGCCTGAACAAAAGCGTTCAGAACAAAAATGGTCCTACGTCAGTTTCATTCCGAAAGCTTTTGTTTCTTTTTAGTTAGGAGCATGTGAAAGCGCGTCTCCCGGCATAAGCTCTTGGCATTTTGTTATTCGCTATTTCTTTTTATTCCTCCAGGGCATGTAGTACTACGAAGAATGGTATCACGCCAAACAGGAGAACATTGAGGCGACCTAGTCAAAGCTGTGGAGTAGCTCAGTGGTAATGCATTTGTTTCAAAAGCGGCGGCCCCAGGATCGAATCTCGTGGTCAGCAGGCGATCTTTATGAAGGATTTGGCAACATTGACGACGGACACCTAACGCCCTACTTCGCCAACTACAACAGACGTTATTTCCAGTGGTAAGAAGAGCCAATTACAGCTATCGCTGTAGAGAAACTGCAGCCATCTCGCAGCACACATAGTGGCTTAAATACCAGCCTAGAGAACTGTCTTGTGCCATATAGACTTTCCCAGTGTCTTTCTCTCCGTTCCTTTGTGCTCTTTTCTCCTCCTTTCCCAGCTGGCCAGACTGAATTCCCCAAAAGCTCTATTTCGAGGACATTTAAATCCTCCAGTCCACAACTGAAGGATTCACAACAGTAAATAAAAATCAACTAAGAGCTCATTAATTGCCAGCCTGAGTTAAGCCACAGCTATGATCCCCCAATTTTTAATCTATGCAGTGCAACCCCAAGGTCATAGACCAACTTCTGCTCCAATCTGCACAAGTCAAAATTTTCTTCACCTCCACAACAGTAGTTCTAGAAGATCTTGCAACCATAAGTACTAGTGATATTCTACAAATAGATCAACATGCGAAATAAAAGTTATGGCGCAGGCAACCTGGTGATGTATAGATAATAAAAAAAAAAAAGCAAAGACATGGAACACGCAAAAATAAAATAGGTGTGCCGCTGCGTTTGAGATGTCGTCCACTTTTTCTTTGTGTTCCATGTCTCAAATTTTGGGGTTTCTTTTTTCGCTTTTTCTTTATTAACTGAACTAACATGTGCACACACCCAGAACACCAGACAGCACCTGCAGACTGGCACAAACAACTTTTAAAATCAAACAGCTCCATGACACAGCCAGAGCTCTCTCCCCCATTTTTTGGACTTTGTGACAAAGTCGAAAGACTGCGTCCATGTTCGAAAATTTCCAATGCACAAAAAGAGCTTGCTGAAATGAATAAATAACACATGCAACATATAAAAGGGATCACCTCGTGCCATAGTTCCATTTTGGCAGAGCAAACTTGATCCGGTTGCGTATTTCCAGCGTGGCATCCAACTCCTCCGACTGGCTTCGCATTGAGTCATCGACGGGGTACCTACAACAAGAAGATGAGTGCAGTCTCTGAAGTCAAATGGCACAATGTTTTCGCTTAAAAACTCTTCGCAACGTCTTTACAAAGGTGCTTGTTCAGACCATGGTGTCACACCAAACCCAAACCGAAGCAAAACTGTTATTTCTGACCGAACCAGAACAAGATCGTAACCAAAATCAACCATTTAATACTGAACCCGAACCACAATGGAACCGTAATTTTATGTAGCAGTTTCCAGTTCACTGAAAAACGGTTTGGCATAATAAAATATGAGCTGCATCTTCTTGCGGGTGGTGGTGCAAAGACAACTAAATATTGCCGACGGTGGTGTCAGTGGCGCAGTTTGGACTAAACAAACGGCGGTGATCTGGAGACAGCTCAATATTAATGAAACAAAAATCTTTCCCGTCTATGTTAAGCGCGACTTGGCGGCGGTGAGTCGGCTCGATGGCATACACTTCTCTACCTCATTTCGCCTAATGATGGATCGCAAAGGACGCTACGAGCCATTGGAGCGAATTCATAGCTTGAAGGCTGCCATGTGCCCTTCCGGTTGGGCAGGGAGCGCGAAGTAGCATGACGAGCTACGAGCTACGGATTGGCGCAGGTAGCTCGTAGTTTACACCACGGAACATTGTAAAGTGAAATACACTATATCCGACTATGCCAAAGAAGCTAAGAGCTATTCTTTGTTTGTTTGTGTGTGCTTCTTTCCTTGCTGCTAAGATATGCTGCTCGAGGAGAGTGAAGCAAACATGAACATCCAAATGAAAAATGAAAGACGTTTACAATTCTCTGTAATGCCGAATTAGAGCGCAGCTCTTGAGGAAAAGGAGGTGAGGGTATGAAGTGGAGGGTTACGCAGGACGTCACAAGGGCAATATTTTCCCGCTAAACGTAGCGGGAAAGTTTCCTCGCTGAATTTAGCAGAAATATTTTCCCACTAACTTTAGCAAAAAAAGTTGATCGCCAATTTAGCGGGAAAATTTTGCCCTTGTGACGTTACATGCGACGTTAATATGGGAAACGCACCATAATAATACGTGCGGTTATGCCGACGACAATGGCACTCAAGCCGGAAACTCGCGCCTAAGAGCTGCGTTCTAAAACAGAAACTTTTAGCCTTTACACTCTGGTGAGGAAGGAAGACCAGACGACCTGTACAATGGAAAGTAATAGCCGGCTGCAAGTCGGCAAGCCAGAGTGGAAAGGCTGCCGCCATCTATGAGCGACGGCGGCAATCAGATGCGTGGCTTGCCGCTGACGCTCATAGATGGCGGTAGGCGCCCCCAGAGTTTGGTGTCTTCATTTCTTCGTGGGGGACACGATCCTGGGGAAACTAGCCCTTAACAGCTCCGCTGTAAAAGCCGATGGCTGTCGGCATGTTTATTTCGCGGTGGAAAAATCAGGAGGCATTAAAAATCAGGAGTGCCATGACAAGCGCTACCCACATTGTGGCGCCGTACGCCGGGACGATAATCATCCAGAGCACCCTGAGCCCTGGACGCTGCCCGAATAATTTTTGAGTGTGTGTGTGTTTGTATTTTCTAAATGCAACATATCACCCGTTTTTTTATTTTATTTTCGTTTTAACTTTTTTAGTCCACCCTTCACTCTCTTCCTCCACTTAAACTTGGTCATTGTTTAAAAAAGGTGTTTGAGGGTGCGGAGTAGGTAGTTTGCAGTAGGGTTGCATGCTACCGTCATGGTGTCACTGCACGCCGGCTGATTGACTTCACATGTGAGTACTATACATTGGCACTGTTTCTGAGTGCCTGTATGACCACTTAATTTGGATAAAACAATGTTTAGAATAAAAAGTCAAGATCATAAAACGAAATTAAGCATATACTGCCGAGACTAGTTATAACGAAGGCAACGAGAATTGGAAATCAAATCACTATATCTGCTTCTTCGTTATATCTAAACTGCATAAAAGTAACAAGCAAAAAAAAGATAACACGGGCAGTCACGGGCACATGCTTATCGTGCCTGCAGAAAGTAGTCGAGGCTTCCTTGCACATACCCTCTGCTAGATCGGAGCTGCTTGTCGCCAACTGCGAGAAGCTCTGATTGAGAAAAGATTCCGCAAGTTACGTACAGACCGTGGGGACAGCTGTGATGGCCACCGCGGAGGATGCCGGAGGTGGACGACACTCTTTACGTTCATGTGCACTTTGTCGAGGATGGCATGCATTTGTTTTAGAGAGATTGCCTTCGTCCTCCCCGTTGAAGTGCCGGCGGTGCCGGGACCCCCCATCGTTGAGTGGCGATGATTGGCTGAATCAGTGCTTGAGCGAAGTTAAGACTATTATTGTGCAGAGAGCGACCCAACTGACCAGTGATGCCAACACGGAAGACGAAGCAAACAAAGAAGCGCAAACGGCACTGAGTTCACGCTGAAGTTCGTGTTCAATAGGTAGAGAGCCTAGAGTTAAAAGAGGGGGCAATTGCTCGATCGGGGCCATGTGCAAAACGAGCTGCAGCCTACAAGAAGTCAAAACTCAAAAGCATTCACCGTCTGCAAACGTGTCCGCCTCTCCAACTGGTTTCCACGCCACGCTGACCACACGACAACCAAATGCAGGCACATTTGTGCCAATCTGTTCCGGAGACGTCTGCCATTAAATTGCAAATGCTCTCCATGGTTGAAGTTGCTCCCTCTCTTAAATCTAGGCTCTCTCCTTGTCTCCGACGGTACATTGTCGCTGGCGCATTGAACGCCCTGGCACATCACAACGGCTTCTCTGCATGCAATGTGAAAAAGATGCTTCCCAGATAAGGAGTGGTGAGTGGACGACGATGCAGAGGCTGCCGCCAGTGGCCTTTGCAGCATCATCTGTGGCCCGTTCTGGGTGGCTGCTCAACCGCAACAGTAAGGTGCGGAGGTCTGTGACTTGGTAAACTTCCCAAATTTCAATATTTTTTAAATTACCGCAAAATTTCTTTTCGCTATATCAGTGGGAGCTGCTCAATTCCCTTCGGTTAAAAATAGACACAAATACATTGAAAAAGTGCAAACGGGAATGGGAAATCGTGATCGCTTCGCTGTAGCCGCTATTTCGTTATAACCGGTCCCAACAGAATTTGTTTTGCTGTCCTCATTTACGCAGAACGACTTCTGATGACTTTTTTTTAATGCAAATGATGTTGTGTTGAACGCACTTTTTCTTAACTGGGAGCTGTGGACCTAACTTTTTAAGAACCAGTTTGAACCAGATTGTACTTGGCAGAACCGGTAACCGAACCGTCATATCAAATTCATCACTGGACTGGAACCGAACCGGAATAAAATGCTAAGCTAACGGACCCAAACCAAATAACTGGTTAGACTCCCTGGTTCAGACTAATATAGAAGGCTTTGGATAGGAAACCATGAGAAAACGGTGAAGCTAGCATTTTACGTAGCTGATAGGCAGATGACGTCAGCTATAACGGTAAAGTAGTGGCTGCTTATATTTACAGAGTCTTGTACCGGGTGCTCCCCAAGGCATTTCAGGTGTCCAATGAAGAGGAAAGCGCTCGTCTTTACTGGGATCATGCCAGAGGTTTTCCCAGAAATCGAAATTAGGGGGGGGGGGGGTATTGAGAATAGAGAAGTCGTTGCAAATTAAGGGGGTGCCTTCAGAAAAACAAGGGGGTGTTCACCCCCCAAGGCGGTGTGTAGAGAAACCACTGGATCATGCCCTCATCTCTTGCACAGCGTGTTTCCAGGAGTACCTGCTATGTGGCACTAGTGCTATAGATCTTACCACTAACAAAGTCTGCCATACACAGATGAATCTGACATGCAGTGGCACAAGAGCTGTCTTGCCTAAAATGCTGCAAAAGAAGAGCTACAAGAAGAGAATCAGCGATTGTCCATAGACAAAAGTTGAAACTTCAGATTCTCTGGGCACTGGAAACCAATGTGCAACATTGATATCACAACCACAGTAGAATCTCCATGATATGAATCTCTAGGGGGTCGTGGAAAACCTTTGTATCATCCGAAATTCGTACGATTGAAGAATGAACCAAGCCAACACAACAAAGCAAAAGAAATGCATACTTGATGTTTATTTGCTCCCTACTCATTGGCAAACAAGTCTCATGTTTTTTTAGGGTCTTCCTTTCCATGAGGTTGCCCAGTAGACACTTTTGAGATCTCTAAAATTGTGTGCAAGAGTCTTCACTGATGTTGGCCAAGCTCGCGATGCGCCGCACAGCGTCGAGTGTGTGCAGCATCTTGGCCGTCATTGGAGGTTACTCGTCGTCTCCTTGGGTGCTGTCATCATCGTCACTACTGGAGCTTCCCGGCCGTGACGCTGTCATGTCATCTATGATATTTTCGACCGTCCTCAGTCCACAAATCACAATATCGTTGTCTGCGGTGACAAAGTCGTGGGCAGATTCTTCAGTGCCAAGTTGCTCCCAGTTTTCTATGTCCGAGTTGTCCTCTTCTAGTTCTAGAGATGCAAACACTGTAGGATTCAGAAATGCATACTTGTGGAAGCAGTTTGCAATAGTGCTTTGAGTGACGCGGTGCCACAACACAGCAATAAAGTACAGGGCATACAAGAGGCTTATCTGGAGGTCTTTGTCTTGCCAATTGATCTCTGCGGGGAGATGCTCACCAGTGGCCCTTTGAAATGGTGCTTCATATTCTGGATTATGTCAACATACGGCAGTTATTGTAGTTGAGGTAGGCGAGAAATTCTTGAAATTCTGTCATCCAAGCCTTTTTGTTTGCAGGGCAAACCTCTCATTGACGGTAAGCTTCAACTTCTATGAGCCGTTGGCATTACAATAATAGAGGATAGTGACTTTCCGCTTACTTTTCTGGCCTCCCTGGCAAGTCCAGGCCTTAAAACAAGACTTTTGAGTAGTTGGACGTAGAAGAGGTCAGGCCTCGCCAGTGCTGAATTTATCCCGGGCTTCATGCCTCACAACCAGCGATGGTAGCGTTTTGGTCATCCAGTCGCTAACAACAGATTCTTATGTTTTCTTGCCTTCTCCGTATACACTTTTATACATCAGGCCATGCCTCGCTTTAAAACTTTAAAGGCTTGGGAGTTCTCAATGCCGAGAGACAGTTCAATATCGCTAGCTTTCTCTCTCAGGACCTTGCTGTCAATGTTGACGCCAGCCGCCGTGGCTTCTTTAAACCACGTCGAGAGGATTTCCTCGAGCTTCACATGCTGTGCTGTCTTCTTGTTGCACATTCTTCGTGATCAGTTCACGCTGACCGACAATGGCGTAGAAGGTCGACGGCGCGAGGCCCAACTGCTACGCTAGGTCAGCATGTTTTCTTTTGGAGACTTGGTCAACCTTTCCCACATTTTTAAGCATATTGAATGAAAGTGCCTTCCGCTTGTGAGATATCATCAGCAGTCCTCGATTGCAACCTATTCAGTTTGCTGTGTTGGGCAGCCTTTGCATGTTTTTCAACTTTTTACTTTTGGTTTAAACTTTGCATGCACCTGTCCGATTCATCGCTGCCACGCCACGCCAACGAGAGAGAAAGAGGAAGAAGAAACGAGGAGTAGAAAGAGTCAATCGTCTGCAAGCGTCTCCAGCCCTTGCTCGACTCATCTTCCTTAGCTCACGCATGAACATGAGCAACCAACTTGTGAAGTATGTGCAGGAGGCTTCCTCCATTGAATTGTAAATGCTCTCCATGGTTTCAGTTGCTCCCTCTCTGAAATATAGGCTCCCTAACAAGGTGATGGTTGCTTTGGTTGGACCAGTTGACCCCTCCCACGACCGTGGCCACTTTGCGCAACATGCAACTACGTCGTTTTTCAAATATCGCTCGAGTGACTCAAGGTTGCTCGCTCCAGAAGGTCATACCATGTGACAATAACGGTAGAGCAACGCTGCATCAGTTTTGGGGGCTTGAGCGAGCGCTCGTTCGTCATACGTGCTCTCTTCTTCTTTTTCATTTTTTTAGCACTCTGCTCTTATAATGAATCAATACCAACTGGCCCAGTATTCTACATCTCTGATGCAGGTAGGTTTTTGCATTTTCAAATGCCCATATGCCCTCTAGAGTGAGATTGCACCAAGTTTGGAACACGGCCACGGTTATTCAGTTCGCATGCGACTGCCAAGACAACTTTACCACCTTTACAGTCAACCTGAGTGGTGGGGAGCACCGGGCAGTGCCTGCAATGTTTACCTCAAAGTCCCTCGATATTTTAAAAATTGAGAGACTTTACCTCCACGAGGTTGACACTTTTGTTCATACCACCTATTACGGCCCAAGAGGGCATTCACACTAGTGTTCCGAAATGTAACGCATTAAAAGAAAAGCTTTGTGGTCAGAGTTTTTAAAAAATTTGTATCACTCCTAAATTCGGATTAACCGTGATTGTATCAACGAGCTTCTATAGTACTTGTATTCAATCCAATATTTTTTGTAAGTTATATTTAAGCAGTGATAAATGTTCACACTAGCAGAAGCATAATCTGTACATGCTTAAGACAACACCACAATATAATATGAAAGTCTAAGGCAAGGCCATTAGCTAAATTAGTAAAATAATAAATGTTAGTTTTTAAGAAAAAAATAGTATTGTTGCATTTTCTGGTTGCCCTTTCCCCGGAGGGTTCATCTTAGCAGCACTTGAGTGTAAACAAAAAAAGAATTGCAGCTTATGTGAATTCTTAAGATACAATACGTTAGACTTATGTCAGAATTAAACCTAGAAAAAAGAAATAGATATTGTTGCCCCAAACATAGTTTGATCAAACAAAATAATGTCCCCACGTTTGTAACGTTTAGATGCACGCCGAGTGTAAAAAAGGCCCATGTCAACCAAAGCCGAGAACAATGAGAAATAAGAAGGTAGATCTTACGGAGTTGTATCCTGGAGGAAGTCAAATAACTTGCTGACAAGCGTCTCCCTCTGAGAAAAAGAACAGTTTTCTTTGACTATGGCTTCAAACATCTGCTTCCCACCGGTGACTTTTGACCAGAAGTAGGGAGGAACGCTGTTGCCAAAAGCGTGGAATCCTGTAGAGAATGATTACTAACGTGAGACACAAGTGGAGCTAGTCTTTAGCCAGAAGACATGCATGCCCCGTTATACATCAATCAGACTATTGCGCGACAGCCCATGAGACACTTCAGCACATTCTAAAGCAGTTGGCCGGAAGGAAGTACACAAGGCCTAGTGTACCAAAGGAAAACGGTTGCGAACGTATGTAAAAACATGTCCAAATGTCAAATCAAAAAGGCCGTTCTAGAAACTAGAAGCACTCCCAACACCTTTGGGCCGTTCAACACGTACAATCAAAAGCATCCGAGGCACTTCGGTGTCCACCATTCGTCACCTTGTATGACCCTCTGTAGTTTCGTAGAAGTCTGTTAGCACATTAAATTGATGGTATGCTACTCTACGTATATTGGAACACTTCCCCTCTATATAATCCTGGTGTAGGACTATAGTAGGGATAGGTGCAGGAAAGACCACTCTAAAACATTATGCCAGTACTGTCAAAATATAAACTCAATGTTATTTACAGGCTGCAAAGTTAGCATATATAAAAGAATTCATCACAAGATAGTAAGTAACCCCTTCCCCTGGAAATCTGCTCTATGCAAACAATGTTCAATCCAGCTCCCTAAAACATGACAACCCTTTAAAAAAATTGTAAAGACGAAATTCGCAAAAATTATACTAAACTGATGCAATGCAAACTATATTACGTCAAATACAAGCAAACTTTTCTTTTGTAAAACGGGCCTCGAGTTCCAGGGAGAGTATGTGGCTAATCGATTGCTGACAACATTAGCAGTATCATATGCAAAACCTGGCATCATAAAAGCTCTATGGTTTGGCCTATGCCAACAATACTCATAACTTCCTGCAGACCTTTCCTTTAATTACTTTGTCGGTTGACGATCAACAGCCCCATACATGCCGACCGCTACCCTAGCATAACCAAGTTGGCAGCACACACAGCTCCCGTGCGGAGGCAAGGGGTTCGAACCCTGCCGCCCTAGTTTTAGAATGAATTTTAGGACTGGTTTCCGAGCCTAGAGTGTCACAAAGAGTTGCTACAAAAACATAATAACATGGCCAGATCCCCATCAACAGCCACCAATTGTCTTTACAAAAAAAAACAAAAAAACTTTGTTTCTCGCTAGGAATTTAGCCTCGAACCTCTCCCTCCATAGTCTGACGCTCCACAACCGCACCAGCAAAGCATCGCACGTCACAGGCACATTTTTGTGACGTGCGTCGGAAGCTTAAACTACGGAAAGCATCCAGATTTCAGCCCGGAGAAGTCTCTTCGTTTGCTGCCACGGTCAAAGATCCCGCACCGTCGCAGACGGTACCGGCACACCACCCACTCCGGCATGTCGAACTTGCGTTCGGCGGGAGCGGTTGTTTGTCGCTTTTGTACAACGAATGGCCGTGAGCAAGTGCCGAAATCCCTAGACCGCTCAAAACCACACACGTGAATATGAGGAAACGTAGCCTCATATTCTCTGGCATGGGCGCACGGCGTCGCTTAAACCATACAAACAATACGAACAAAGAATTTGCGACTGCATGACTGGAGGCTTGCGAGCAAGGCCATTCCGGCGACAATCTTTTTTAGAACGTTCCTGTCCAGAATGTTCTCGACGACATAACCCGAACAAACGAACCTGTAAACGGACGCACCAAGTCGGCCGCCCTTCCGTCGCTGTCGCAAGACATAGACGCCCGTTTTGTTTTAGTTGCAGGCAGTGGCGTAGCAACCGGGGGAGTTGAGAGGCCCTGGGTACCAGACGTCCCAGTCACGTAACAACACCCGGCACCCCCCCCCCCCCCCCCCCTCCCCTTCTCGCTTTACTGGTTGGTTGCGATATCGAGGAGTGAGGGCGAGGGGGTGCTACGAAAGCCATAAGCCATAAGGGCCCCGATGCCGGATGGCCTAGCTACGCCACTAGTTGCAGGAAGACGTTCACCCGATTAAACTCGCATTTACGAATCTAGCTTCGTCTACCTGGCGCACACCCCCCCCCCCCTCCCCTTCTCGCTTTACTGGTTGGTTGCAATCTCTGGGAGTGTAGGGGGGGTGAGGGCGAGGGGGTGCTACGAAAGCCATAAGGGCCCGGGTGCCGGATGGCCTAGCTACGCCACTAGTTGCAGGAAGGCGTTCACCCGATTAATCTCGCATTTCCGGGTCTAGCTTCGTCTACCATTTTTTATTCGTTACAGTGCCACATACATCTGAATTTTCCTGGCACTGTGGTGCCTGGAACGAGACTCTGACCAGTGCTTGAATCGCCTCCGGAAAAGTAGTCCCTCGTTTCCGCCAAACCAAGTAGTAGAAGTGTCACGCCGTCACCGGCCACGATCCTGGTGGCGTCACGGTGCCGAGGGATGTGGCAGATGTCTGTTCTGCTGGACGTGACACTGTGATGACAGTGACATTCACGATCGCCCATGCTTTTTGTCGGCATTTCTACGACCAACCACCGGGATTGCGACGTTCGACAGCGTGACACTCCGGCTTTTGCCATGTCGTTTGCTGCCCCTCTGGGATCGCTTTCGATGTGTGGGCGAAATAGGATGCTGAGCACACCGGTCCGACAAGATGCGTTTCAGGCACCTTACCGGCACCCTGACACCAACTTCCATAGTTCTTGCCGTCCGGGGTACAATGGTACGCAATATATGCGCACAACTTCGGTTACGCAGAGGATGCTAAAGCGCAGAATCATCGAAAATAAGTTAGAACGTATTTAGAAACCAAACACAAACCTGGGTCTAGGTGGGTAGGTGCACCCTCTTGAAGATTGGAGTAGTAATTTAGAAAGCACTTTTTTTTAAGTGGTCTGTAAAGAGAAGGTAAGGTATCAGAAAGACGGCGAGAAACTTTTGTTGCAAGTTTAATGGCGCAGCTGCTCGGTCTGCTTTTGGAACGACTTGCAGTACATGCCGCCAATATGCCGAGACGAGGGAAGCTATGCCAACTTCTGCAACGGCACTGCGAGACTGGGTATGCGGGTAGAACACGAGAGAAAGACATTGCCTTTCTCTCGTGTTCTACCCGTGTTCTACCCGATAAGCGAGCGGTGGGTAGCCAGTCAGAGCAATGGGCAATCAATCGGAACGGTGGGCTTAGTGTGGCATAATCGAGCGGTGGGCGGTCAGTCAGAGCAATGGGCTCTGACTGACCGTTGGGGCGATCAGTCAGAGCCCATTGCTCTGACTGTCGGAGAGTCAGAGCGGTGGGAGGCAAAGCCACTGCCGCCCACCATGGGGAGAACCCCAACTCCAATATATAATTGTTTTATCATGCCACACTGCAGGCCATACCAGAGAGCACCAAGAGGCATGTCGGGACGTATATCCCACTTACTTTGTTTCTACTGTGATCAGAAGGAATCCATTGTAGTCATTCCTCTCTTGCATCAACTTGTTGAGGTAGGTCTCGCCATCTTGTGATGACTGCACAAAGTCAACCACGAGAAAACCTGAAATAGAAAAATTAATTGCTTGTATAACAACAAAACCCGCAATTCTTGAACATTTACACACAGCGGTCATAATAAATTAATATAATCCTCCATGGGGATGCCACACTGGTGTTTTTATATGCCCATACTACATCCTTATTAATATTCGCAACACCAGGTCGCCGCTCGCCCTCTCGCTAACGAACGAAGAACCAGAGGGGCGGGGAGGCAGCGGCGCGGAGACGGTGGCAGGGACCGTCGGCCTAGGTCTGTGAAGTCGTTTTAGTGAAAAAAGTGAGCGTGTTAAATTAGCAATTATTGTGCTCCGCCTTGCAACAGCGTTGCACGAAAAAACGGGATATCTAATTTTATTAGGAACTTTTCGTATATCGCATACTCTGCGGATTTCTGGAATTGTGCGTGGCCGCCAACTCAATCTGTGCTCAATGTGTCGGCAAACGCTCTCGCTAATAATGTAGAGCTCTAGTGTACGGTCTATGAAAAGTCTATTCTTTGCCCTAAGTAGGAAAATACTCGTCGCGCAACGGTATATCGAGCAATACACATCGGGAGTGGATTCGCGTTTCAAGGCCCTTACAAGGAACATGGCCATTTACTCCAAGCACTTTCAAAAGACAAAATATGCATACTTGCTTTTAAGTAATTACAAAGAAAATGAATAAATGCTAGAAGCATTTCAAGCGCGTCTGTGCTAGCCAGCCGTTCGTGACGAGAGCTCAGAACGGGCAGTTTGTGGTGAGAGGGGCCGCAATGTTTAAAATAACACAGTACAAAAAATGTATGGTATATTAAAATATTTATTTTTGATAGAGAAATAAATAAAACCACTAAACACGCCGACTGTGTTAATAGGCAGTTTTAGCTTAGCGTTACCGCAGGCTACCATTGGCTACTGTGAGCACGGCAACACTTCTGGCGTGCGCTGAAAATTATGCTGCAAAGGTACAGTGCAAGCTTCCGGTTGCAACGCTACACTGCACGGTAGCCTGCGGTAACCAACTTCCTATCAATAACCAGAAAGCAGTTCGATCACGTGTTGTAATACACTAGAATCGAGATGGTGAGCAGCGAGTTGTGAGTTTGACACGAAGACATCAATACTGCGAGCGCTGCTCTTCAAGAGCTTGACGGTCAGCGTGCGCGGCTCACTTTCTAGAGCACAAATGGCCAGGCAAAGCGCAAACACAATATCTTCATCATCCTCAAAAATATTCTGCCACAAAAAGTGACATGGCCGGTGCCTAGAACTCGCTCGCCCACCACAAAGCTTCGCAAGTTTAGGTTCCTGCAACTTTTAAATATCGGCATGATTGTTTTCCTAACAGGCATCAACATCTCCGTCACCTGTAATATGATCCTGCACTAACTGCCTTGCATTATACTATAACGCCACCTATAACTATTACGGCGTCACCAGGTCCACTCCGCAGGAGGTCGACCCCGAATGAGTCGACGACGTGCAGTATGAGCCAAGCTACACCACCGAGCAACTTTGCCGAGCCTCCACGCCTGCATCACGGTGTAGGAAGGCTCTTTAGGTGTGGAGATTCCGCTCTCCTCCGCGACCAGATAATGACACCCTGCGCGCTTGGCTTCACGGAGCCACCCCCAGATGGCGCCGTAAATTTCAGGCCATCCAACAGCGCACCGGGCCGCCTGTGCTAGCTGCCTGCTCAGGGTGCAGCTTGCTTTCCGGTGGCTAAGGGTTCGCGTACAATGTGGTATGTAGGTGGGGCCATTCAACTATCATCTCTCACAGCACACTGAAGTTTTCATAACCCAAAAAATGGCAGACGGACAAACAAGAGTACCTCCCTAATACGAGCCGACGCGGCGGTCTACGAGTGAAAAAGAAATATCCCTCTCCTGTAGATAATTTCTAGCCTAGCTTACATTCCGTCGTTTGTTTCTTCAGTAGCGCAATAGTAACGTCGGGAAGCGTTTGTAAAATGAATAAACTCTGATTGTAGCGCAGGTAAACGATAACTTGAGTGCGACCGAAAGAAAAAAATGCACAAAAATAAAGAATGATTAGCACAAACTTTGTTAACGGATAATAAGGAACTGAATTGCTCTAAGCACTGTTCACATGACTTTTCTAAATATAAATAAATATATATATATATATATATATATCGGGTTCGCTAATTACCTTTGATTCACTGGACTATTAAAAACACAAAATTTTTTTTTCAACATGTGGGGCAGCTAACGCGATTATTCTTTTACATTTTAAGGCAGCCTTTAAGTCCTGCTAAATTGAACTGCTGGCCGAATTGGCACAAAGTTATACATTTTGCACGCAGAGGTTAATAAAAGCAGCATTCTTTGAAAGGTTCACTTTGTTAGTACACTTACATTTGCATGTAGCAGATTGCAGCAAAGGTTTGTAGTAACCACACTCGTCCAGTAAAGCAAACCGGTTTTATTAATGGCACTTGTGATATAAGTATAATAATAATATCATCACAAACTTAAAACAAAATCGCTGTAAAAAAACCGTGGTTAAAATATTGTTTAATTAATGGCACACTCTATAGCTGCTTTTGGAGTTCTTTGGGGGGATCGGGGGCCGAGTGGTCTAGCGCACACCAGCTCGGAGCACGTGGAGCGAAAGCTCGCGCTGCAGAACCCAGGGATCCTGGGTTCGAGCCCCACACCTGCCCGTTTCGATCTGGATGAGCATCGTACCGGCGTGCGGTCGTGTATCACTACTGCGTGACGCACGTTAAAGACCCCAGGCTAGCGGTTTGTACCGCACTGGCTAAATTTCTCATCTACAGCTGGGAGACTCGTCGCCCCTGTGAGGCAGACCAAGTTCTAGGCTGTATAAACACACACACAACCCAATTTTTTTTTTTTGAGTTCTTTTCCACATTACGAGTCGCACAGTCGGGACTCTTTCTTCTTTTCTCGAGACTGCTTCTATAAATCTCGTTTTTTTCCTTTGCAGTCCTGTCGCATTTAATGCGATCCGAACCCTTTTGCACGTTCGACCGAAACCGGAGAAGCGTCTGCCTTCCACGGAGGCATCTGCATTCCACGAGAACGCCAGACAGAATCCGACCCTGAACAGATGGGCAGTCTGTTGTGTCTGCGTCTACTGCATGCAAGACAATCCCCTACCAGGCTCCTTCAATTTGGAGAGAACAACGACAGAACATGTGACTGATCCATTCGGCAGACGTCTTTATCGTGATCGTCTCTTTTACTAGTATTTTCATGTCGTTGTTTTCCCTTTCTAAAATGTTTACGTTTCCCCAGGCTGGAGAGCAGTTGGCGCATTCATTCAAATGTTTGGCTTTGGATCTTTGGTTTTTACATTTCCTTTATGCTCGGTTCACCATTGAAAAAAAAAAAAAAAAATTAAAAAAGTTGGAAACAATTAGAGGTGGCGTAAGCAATGGGTGACTTAGCCCACGTTCCGGCTATATGCCACCCTATTCCGGCGGAGGGCCGGCGACCGGACGGCCTGAGCGTTTTGGTGCCCTCTAGGGGCAGGCGGAGAAAACATAGGAAAGGAGGGGACGTGATGTGTTCGCCGTTCCGACGGGGCGAGGAGGGGAGTCTCCACACCTAAAGAGCCTTCCTACACTGTAGCCTGCATGTAAGTGGCACTTGGTATTCTGAAAGAACTTCCCGTTGAACCCTTGATCGTCTGACATTCAGGAACTTTTTTTGGTTTCGTTCAACGGCATCCAGAGTGCATCGGAAGCCAGAGCATTGTGAACTCTGGTATGTTGAACATTTATGGCGGGTGTTCCGGGGGCTGCCTGTGCCTCCGACTCAAGATGTAGTAGTTGTAAGCGTGACTGGCACCCATGCTGTCAGCATGCAGGTCTTGAATTTTAAAGGATCAAGCCCCGGCTTGATCTCCTGCGATGACGAGTAGCGGCGTGAGCTCGGTCTACCGGCAATGACTCCGCTGGCGATCCCCTTTGGCTCTCAGGTCGGCAGGCGCAGCGGACGCCCTCTGTCCTCAGATTGCCACGAGCGCAGTGTCTTGTTGGTGACCCCTGTTTCCCAATAAACGCTGTTGGATACCGGGGTCATTGTTTCTGACATGGCACTGGCGAACCCGGCGCAGACTGCCCTCGCTGGTAGCCGTTGGCCGCACGGTGGGACGGGCATCGGGTTCCTCTTTGAGCACCCGTCCCCAGACGTAAAGGAATGCAATCACCACAACGTATCTGAAGACTTGCTTGACCTACCTCGGCCCTTCTTGGTGGCGTCTATGATGTTTGACCTCTGGAGGATGTTGAGGAGTGCAGCTATGCGGCCGGTCTTGGAGACTGCTAGCCAGGTGCCGCCTTCTCGCCCTTTCTCCTGGTCTCGTCCTGAAATCAATACCAAACAGAAGTTTTTTTGTTTTGCATTGTATTTTTTTAAAGGATCCGTCACTAGGCACTGGCTATGAATCCTGGTCACTAGGTGGTTGTCATTTGTATCGCTTTGGTAACAATAAAGAAAGAAAAAGTTCAGAATACTTCTTTAGAGCAGTGAAACAAGTATAGAAATTGTGAACAACATTGAGGAAAAATGAAAAGACTAAAGAAAAGAGTATTGTTTTTATTATTAAAACGTAAGCAAGCCCTGACATTCCGCACAAATTTTCAATGGGCAATCACAGCTCGTACATCTTTGCTAGAACCTCAACAATAGAAAGTTACTTGCTCTCTTAAAGGAAAACTCCGCCGATTTTTTGAGCTACCTAATCCAAAGGCATAATCTGAATGGAGATGGCTTCCTGATTCCGAAATGCTATCTTGTTCTCCCAGATTCACTCTGGTTAATTAAAAAAGTGATATTTTGTTTGCTGCCGAAACTGCAAGATCGTTCTCCCTAGTTTTTCCCCAGTTTTCCCCGCCACCCAAGCTTGACGTCACTGGTGGGCAGCGAGGAGCGTGGCCGGCAGTCGGATGCGCTCGCGCCCGCCTTTCTCGCGCCTAACAGCGAGAAAATCTGGGCGTTCGTTCTATTTGAAGTTAATTATCTATATTTGCACAAAGTATGACCTTGGCCTACGTGCTAAACTATGAGAAAGCAAAAAAAAAACAAAAAAAAACAGGTGCATTCGGAATTTCAATAAAACCGTTTTTGCAACTCGGTACGCTCAAGCCGTGGCTCGCTAGTTTCGTGATATCACTAGTAAATCCACTTTCTTTTTATTCGAAAATGGCTGGTGAAGAAAGATCAAAGGGTCATGCAATACATTTTTTTACAAATTGCCAAAGCACCACGAAAAATGCTCGGAATGTGGGGACAGATGCCCCACACGCTCGTATAACCTGAAGGAATGTGTTTTAGATTTTCTTTAGAAAAGTTAGTGTTGCAGATGCCATCACGTGTAAACTACTCTTGTGGCATGAATATGCTCTTTGGTGCTTAAGTAATTTAACAAAAGATCCCTATGGACCATTTCTGAAAAGCGCTTCTGGTCGATGCCATTTTCAGGGTTGGTGCGTGTGGTACGTAATTTGCTTGCCTTCCAAAGCGACGAACATGTGCGTGCTGGTCTGGGACCTAACAAATGTAGACTGTGACTCTCGTAAACAATGCAATGTATAGAATGGAATGAACTGCATTCATGTAGATAGGATGGCAGGTTAGTGATCATGAAGATTGTGTTAAAATGACAATTAAAAGAACTCTGCAACCACCAAGCCAAACATCAAAGTGCAATGGAATGCGTAAAAAATACATAATTACACTGTTCATTTTCAAATAAAGATTATTTGCTTCAAGATACAATAGTGCGTAAGGTACAGAAAGACATCATAAACTTTTAATTCAAAATAAGTTAACAAAAGTTACTCAAAAAAAATATGGATCCCCTATTTTTACTTTTTTTTATTTTTGAAGTAGAATGCAACACGTTCAAACACCCATCCACAAGAGCACATCAGAAAGGCTAATTATATATAAGATTTTTTTTTTTTTTGAAGTTTGGTCTAGCACAGTTTCCATCAGCTGTAAATTTGCATGACTCCCCTCAACGACATTAATATTTTCATGGTGTAAAAAAACTGTTCAGCCCTATATGAAATTTCTCAGCAATACAATAGATGCTTTCCTAACTTCCTCTGCAGAGAATATTGCACACCAACCATTTGACAAACCAGGCAAAGTCTCTGTCGTATATTAAAAGGGCACTCAAGTGGTTTTTGGGGAAGCTACTTTTTGGTGCGATGGCATTAACGAAGTGTCAGTGAATGAGTATCTTCAGTTTTAGAAGGCAGAACCACCTATTAATCATGCAGGAATAAAATATGTGCGGACTCTTTTCTGTTCCTGCGCCGACCAATGAAATGATCATATGTTTGAAAATTTTGGTGGCCTTTGTAAAGTTTCGCTAAAAAAACAATTTTCAGTTCATTTAGATATGTTGTGCATGATAATTTCACAAGATGTAAAATAGCTCTAGTTTAGAATATGCGATACTGCAATTATCGTTTCACAAACAAGGAACCCGGGTTCCTTATTCGTCCTCGGAACCCGAACACGACTCCGAAGCGCTGCTATCGTCCACATCGCACGTCGGAGTGGCGTCATAGGAAATCATCCCCACGCCGGCTGTCCGCCGAAGAATTTCAACCTCTAACGGCGTCAGGTCCACGAGCGTAGAAAACTCTGCCATGATCAAAGCTCAAATGACAAAGAAGTTCGGCCAATGCGGCTACCTCGGACCTCGGGATCACTGCGCGACGGAGCGTCGTCTAACGCCATTGGCCCCAGATCGTTTTGATATGCGAGCGGTGACCAATGAGAGTGGTTTCGTTTTTGGATGGTCTGAGGGTTGGTGGCCTTCAATTACATTTTATTAAAGAAATAATCACTGTATGACTATATTTTTTTGGTTCTTAAAGATACTTAGGGCGTCTAGATTCAGTTGTCATCATCAAAACAAAAACTCAAAAACCGCTTGAGTTTTTGTTTTGATGGAGCTCAACACCTGCTCCATAAGCCTCTGTAATAGCAGACAGGAATAGCAATATGTCGAAAGTCGTGTCTAAATTCAAACTTGGACTTTGTTTAGACGTTTCACTTCTCGTCTTCAACATATCGGCCGCGTGAGGGGAACTTCAATAGTAGCCCGAGCTAGATTCGACGTACGAAACAGATATAGTGTTCATAAAAAATAAAAATAAATCACTGAAGCAATAGTGAATAACAAATGTGACTGTGCAAAATGTCAGCTATAGTGCTAGATTATGTAAAATTTTTCTCGATGTTATTAGCGCTCTTCTTTGGACGGATGTCGTAGTGGTCACTGCCGGCTTGAGTTTGCGCTTGCCGCTCTTGAAGCTGTTCCAGCTGCTGAAGGATACTCAACTTGCAGCATGCGGCTATAAAGTATTCCGAGCAAAAGTGAAAGTATTTCACGTGACACTAGTTCTCTTGGCACACAGCTTGCGCAAAAGCACCTTGACGTAGCCGGCCTCCATTGCTGCCGGGGAATGCATTTTTTTTTCTCCCACGAAAACAAGGGTAAAGAAAAAAAAGCTTTTTCTTGGCACTGTTTCTACAATCTATCACAAAGCACAGGATTGCTACCCATTGCAACGGAACTTTCTACCTTAAACCTGCGCAAAAAAATCTCAATCGCTGGCACCCGGAATGCCACTTCGCGGCTGCCTGAGTCACTCGTCCGCCTGCCCACCAGCAACCAGAGGTCGGCATTTTAGGTCGCCCTCACTCACCCTCACCCTCACAGCCACACTGACCTAAGCCCCTCACTCACCGTCACCCTCACAGCGACGCTCACCTTCAGCCCCTCACTCACCCTCACCTTCACAGTCACGCTCACCTTCAACCCCTCACTCACCCTCACCCTCACATTCACACTCACCTTCAGCCCTTCACTCACCCTCACTGAACCTCACGGCCCTCACGCCCCTCACCGCCCTCACGGCCCTCACGCCCCTCACTCACTCATGGCCCTCACGCCACTCACCGCCCTCACGCCACTCACCGCCCTCACGCCACTCACCGCCCTCACGCCCCTCACGCACTCACGGCCCTCACGCCACTCAGGCCAGCTTCAGATGGGGCGATTTCGCCCAGAAACTTTACGTCACAACACCAGCAGCACGCGCCGCCCGCGATCACACGCAGCAACCAATTGCTGCAATTTGCCATCGGCATCATAACATTTTATTTTTCTTGCACTATTTAGACACAATTACGCGTTATAAACGTGTTTTTATGCATTTAAACCTCGTTAAGGGATACTAATGCACCTTTCTGAAACAGTTTATTTCCAAAAACGATAAATTTCAAGCCATAACCAAGTCCTTTGTTGTCATCATCACCGGCATGAGGTATCATGTGAAAATATAGCGTCCCTGATTGGATGCAGCCGCTTCAAACGTATTCAAATTGCTCCGAGTTGCTTGCTTATTTCGAGCCGGACCCGACCTCAGCAATTCGTGTCGATCTAGGGAAAGCTAGAGAACAACCCGCCATTAACACCAAAATTGCCGAGAAAGATGCTCGATCTGAAGGGGGCCCCACGCACTCACCGCCCTCACGGCCCTCACGGCCCTCACGTACTCATAGCCCTCACGCCACTCACCGCCCTCACGGCCCTCACCGCCCTCACGCCACTCACCGCCCTTGCGGCCCTCACACCCTTCATGCCCCTCACGCACTCATGGCCCTCATACCCCTACCGCCCTCACCGCCCTCATGGCCCTCATGGCCTTCGCGGCCCTCACGGCCCTCACCGCCCTCACAGCCCTCACGGCCCTCACTCACCCTCACACTCATGAATTTTCCTGGTTCAGAAACTCACTCACCCTCACCTCACCTGTGAAGATGAGGGTGAGTGAGGGTGAGTGAGGGCCCTCATGAGTGAGGTTTGCCGAGGTATGCCAGCAACGTACGCAAGTAGGGAAAAGTAGGGATTTTTCATTGTTGCCAGTAGAGAGTCGCCTCCTGGAACCCTAGCGGCTGGCGTAACTTCAAAATTCAATAACTTCACGGAAATTTTTTTTTATTAATATTTTGGTTATTAGTTGAGATACGGTTATTGATGCGGTCTGCAAATTTCCAGCCAAATCGAAGTCTAGTACCAAAAAATCGGTAGAGTTCCCCTTTACAGTAAATTTCTTTACTCCAAACTTGCACTTCCGACAAATGCTAAAACCACACAAGTAGTCACGCTAGAAAAACCAGGTGCTAGTTCACACTTGTTGCAGCTGGAGGACTTTCAACAAATATCACCCACACATGTCACCGAGGCAGTAATTTTGGTCTGGCAATAATAAGGTACAAAAAATTTGTTTCTTTTCAAAGCACTCTTTAAACAAATGCTTGGTCCAAAAATTTTGTAAAAATACCCCTACCCCAACATTTTGTGTTACCTTCCAGTGAAAAGAAACAATACAATCACTACAAAAATTCGGAAATTGTCTTCAGTCTTTTTTTTAAACAGCATGAGATGTTTGCTGTTTTTTTTTAAATATGCAAGGTACCCCACAAGACAAAATTCTAATCCTCCTGCGAAATGTTTCCTGAACTACGAGCACAAAGGGCAAAAATTGTTAGAGAGCAAAGGTTTCGTCCCACAACTTTCACCTGGCTACCTGGAGTTCACACAGCCTCAATTAAAAGGCCAGCCACCGACACACCAAAAAA